ATCTCTAATGTGATGGGCAAGGTAGCTGCAGTGCTATTGTTTGACTAATGCAAGAGGTATTGCAGCTGCAGCCCATCAGAGAATTTCTTCAGCATAATGAAATATTTTCTTGCTGAATCTACCACCCACACACAATTGAAAACCCCTCCTACAGGCACTGAGTAACTCATTAACCACGTAGTGGCTGTGCATTCTGGGCACTTTGTGCTTTGCCATGTCAGGGATGGCTCTGGATGTTGCACAAGGAATTACCCAGCTGTATTTGTCACTGGTGTACACTCATCTCTCCTGTGACAAGGCCATGCTCAGGAAACCTTGGGTGCACTGAAATTGCCTTGGGTTTCACTGTGCAGGCTGTATCCAGCTCAGAGGTTCTTACAATGGTTTCAGGATTGAACCTGCTTTAAAGGATGATAAATGTGGAGTGTTTGTCTGGTGGGATATCAAGGGGAGACAGACAGGAATGTACTGTTCGTCACCTCTGCACATCTGTTTGTTCCAGGGTCACCTCAATTCCTTCATTACTGGTTCTCCCAGCATTTTTCTTCCACATAAGAACACTGTCTTATATATTCTATTTATTTCTAGTTAAGAACCAATTCTTTGTGGTTTTTTTTTCTGTAAAGACAATGAAAATTAGACCACACAACAACACATGGTGGAAATACTGTTACAGTCAGATAAGATCACAAAATCACGAAATAGTCTGAGTTGGAAGGGACCCAGAAGGATGATGGAGTCAGACTCTAAGGTGAGTGGCTCAAATGGGGATCAAAGCCACAACCCTGCCATTATTAGCACCCTGCTCTGACCAACTGAGCAAATCTCAGGGTCAAGATGTACAACAAAGGCAGATCATCCCAGTGTGGAAGGACATTAACCACTGCAAACAATGGTGACAATAATAGTAGTGCCTCACAAGAAGGGAGGCATCTGCTGTATTTTGAAGGCTCAGAAGAATGAAGATTTTACTTGACCCTAAAATCCCACTTCCCCTCCTCAGGAATGTGAATGGATATTTGTGTTACCACTTCTGAATAGTTCAAGCACCAAGAGCAATAAAACAATTTAGGCCAAAAAAAGACTTGTGCACTGAGGCAGAGAAGATGCTGCACCAGGCAAGGTCAGAAAGACAAGCTGTTGAGCAGACAGGTGACCCAACACCTCTTTTCTTTAGGAGGAGAGCACAGAATTACACACAGGGCTCATCTGGGGAGCAGCACAGAGCTCCACCACACCAAATCTTGTACACAGATGACCTTCCTCAAAGGCTGTGTCCCTCCCTGCTGCCATCCCAGCAGATGCTGTGGTGTGGAGCCCACCCTCTGCTGCTGCCTGAGGACATTCCTGCCTGATCCTGCCTTTCCCTGGAGAGCTCAGGGCAGGACAGTCCATGGAGGGGCAGGACCTGCCCCAAAACACAGCGGGAAGATCCAGCACAGCTGCAAATGAGAAGCACAAATGAAATGCTCCTCTGAACTCATATTAAGATTCTTTGACTCAGACAACCAGAAAAAGCAAACCAGCAGATGAGTGACAAGAGCCTGGTTAAACATGATGATTGTAAAAATTGGGGAAATACAAAGACAACAAATAAAGAACAACTTCCATTGAAGGCATTTGTCAGTTTCTATACTGATAAATATTTTCATGTAGTTGAGGCCTTACAGACTGAAACCAACAGGCCTGGCAGGGATTTCAGGAAGTCCTACTGCCCCTGCACTATACCAGAGAAGGCCAACCATGAATTTTCATGGTTTTGCATAACCTGCTCTGGTGATACAGACTCCCAGGCAACTCTGCACTCCCACACTTCACTCCCAACAGAGCTTGGAAGGGTTAGCTGTCCTGGCTGCAATTGAAATGTGTTCTAGAGATGAAAATTGAAGTGGAAATTGAAATGTTCTGGTGGTGACAGGCATTGCAAACAGCATTCTCCTGAATGGCAATTGATGCACTTTAAGCCTGCTTCCACAACCCTGCCCACATCTTTGCTTTCTAAGGGCAGACATCCCCAATCTCTCAGCATTTACCCACAGGCTATGTTTTCCACATCTTCCATCACTTTTGCTACTCTCTCCTGGGCTTTATCCAGCTGACTCACATATTTCCTGAAGTGTAGAGTCCAAACAAGATAAAATATTCCAGCTGAGGCATTATAATTTCCTTGTAAAGTTGGAGGCTTACTTCATGCCTCACAGACAACACTCCTATTTATACAATGGAAAATGCTGGCTGGTTTGTACTAGCACAACACTGCTGGCTCTCACTCAACTTCAGATCCTCCAGAGCCCCAATGTCTTCATCTGTAAACTGTTCCATTGCCTGTCTTTGCCACTTAATTATTTCTGGTGAAATCTCTGATCTTAAATGCATCTTTACTGAACAGCATCCTCCTATTCCAGAGTGATTGTGAATTCTGAGCCTGTTCTGTGCAGGAGAGAACACCGTGTTCCCTCCCAGCTCCAGTTAAAAGTTATATTTTGAATAAGTGCTCTCAATGTCAACATGCCATTCATCACCGGAAATGCTGCCTGGAATGGATTCTCGGGCAGATCACTGCAGGATTCCCTTTAGCACAAACTCCCCCTCGACAAGGGACCATTGATGACCATGCTCTGAGGATGAGCTGGCAAACAGTTTTGCAGCAGCTCATTGTAATTTAACTATGGTTGCTGCTTTGTTTTTCCCTTTAGTCAGCTTTCAAACTGCCTTTGTTGCTTTTAAGACCTGTTTTCCCATCAATGAAATGCCTTCCTTCACACAGGTCTCCTTCCCACAGACCCTGCTTGGATGCTGGGTGAATGTTTAGCCGCAGTCCCACCCCATGAGCAGACCCACACCTCCTCTCACCAGAGCCTTTCAATGATGGAAGTGGCTTTAGGATTAGTCTGGTGAAGAGATTCTCATCTAAACAGAACTTGAATAAGTGATCCCTGCAGCAAGGCTCAGAACACAGAAACAAACCCCACTTCCACCCTCTCTCACACACTGTTATTCTGAGAACCACACAGCACTGCAATGGTTGAGAGCACAACCACAGGTGGGTTGGGCATTCTCCTGAGAAAGACTGGATGGAAGTGACCTCTGGAAGTGTTCAGCCCAGCTTCTCTGAGCAGGATCACTGCTAACAGCAGATCAGCCACAGCTCTGGCCAGCCAGTTTCTGAGATTTTCCAAGGATGGAGATTCCCCCGCCTCCCTGGTCAGCCTGTGCCAAAGTTACCCTCCCTTCCTAGAGGAATCAGAAATCTCCTGATTGCTGGCCTGAGCTCCCAGGCAGGATATGGCAATTGGCCTTTGTTATATTACTTGTAACTTTTCTGAGTGAAATACAAAACTGACTGACATTATGGAGAAATTTAGTCCCAGTCCCCCACCTTTCTGAGTCAGGGTCTCTGTGATAAGAGCTCTTATCACAAGAGAAACTGATTCTGCCTCTTACTGGTTTTACCTGGCCTCAACCCAGTGAGCTGGGTCCATCCCAGTGATGGCTCAGAACTGAGTATAATCATCTCCTGCCCTGCATTTGAACTGCAGTGGGGATGGGTATCTAAAATCCGCTGATCACCCCAGCAGTGCAGGGGATGCTGCCCACCAGCCAGAGCAAACTGTGCTTGGAAATGGAGGCAGAGTTAAATTGAAATGAACTTTCTGGAGGGAGCATCCTGTAAGATGTGAGTGCATCAAACTCCAGTAAATAATGACTTGGCAAAGTCCTGGGCCAAAAGCTTCTGCAATGAAACACATCAGCCCCTGAACAGACCATGAAGTGCCCACTGCTCTCCTCTGTGAGATAAAGGAATGCCAGAGGCCACTCCTGATGGCTCCAACTTCCCTGTGAACAAGGTCAGCTCCCACTGTCCTCTCCTTCCTGTCACTCTGGCATTCTCCTTGCTACAGAAATGTGGATTTGCTGGTCACAAGACCCTGTTTTGCAATGCTGCTGTGAGCTCACGATGAGAGGAGCAGGTCGACACTGAGTCTCGGGTGAACTGGAGGTGGTACAAGTTTGACAGGTCTTGAGCAGGTGATAAGATCATGAGTTCAGTCTGCTTCTCAACATGACAGGGAACAGAACACACAAATACAGACTGAAAGCTTTGTCTGTGCTGTCCCAATACATGTGTTTTTTCTTTCCTTATCTCCATGGACAAGCTGAGTGCGACCTTCATCATTTCTGTTTTGCCCAATGGTGCTTTAGTGGTATCTGATGTTCTATCAAACTATTTTACATGGATGTGTATATATAGACATAAATACCTCCATGCAAAGGAAATAGGGAATGTGGTAAAAATTGTATCGTTAACGGTGTTTCAGATTCTAAAACATTTACAACAGGGGCACTTCTACTCTACACCCTCTGTCTTTTGTCAATGTTTCAGATATCTTCTGATGATCAGAATCAAGACGACAGAGTATCATAATCTTCTTGTTTTTTCTTTCAGGTATGGTGTCAGGATCATGTTGCTCTGCAGCTACTTTTGTTATCAAAATCAACTATCAAGATGACTTCCTGAAACAGATCTGGGCTGGTATGGTGAAACATGTACTGGAAAGTTGTGCCATTTACATTTCTGAAAAATCCATTTGCCCAGGATTTTTCTCCTGGGAAGCTGAGAAGCCTCAGAGAAAAAGGAAAACAGTTCTTATCTCATTTGCTTCTCCTGTGTTGTGCTCACATGCGGCATGTGTTTGGAGATTGTTTACCAACAGATGATTGTTTCATTGATTTTCTGGTGTCAGTTGTTTTCATTCACTGGCCAATCAAGTCCAAGCTGTGTTGAGAATCTGGGGAGAATCACAACTTTTCGCTATTATCTTTTTAGCCTTCTCTAAGTATCCTTTCTGTATTCTTTAGTATAGTTTAGTATAGCATTCTTTAATATAATATGTATAATAAAATAATAAATTATCCTTCTGAGAATATGGAGTCAGATTCATCATTCCTTCCTTCATCTGGAGGGAACCCAAATCCAATAGGAAGCCACTCCCACTTACCATTTGTGAAGGTGTTCACGTAGTACCTGCGGCCCTGGGGAGACATGTAGCTCTGCCAGCCTGGGGGAAGGTGCCCGTTCAAGGTGTCTTCTCCTGGCTGAGGAGTTGCCTTTCTGGGTTTCTGCTGAGAAAAGAAAAAAAAAAAGAAAAAAACCTGTTAAGTCAATATCTAGATAACATAAAGTCTAACCAGACACACAGCTGGAAGGAAATGATGTGGTTTGGCATTCTACAGATTCCAATATACCCAAAGAATTTCAGTCCATTTCTCTCTTCATCTGTGCTAGCTTCATCCAGAACAGGAATCAACATTGCCCTGGAGAAATCACCCTTTGGGACAGAAATGAACCCCTCTTTATTTAATGTCCCAAGAACACGTGGAGCTGTCCAAGAAAATTACTCTGGTTGAGCAAAAAAATGCAAAACATGAAATGATCAAACACCTGAGAAAGAGAGGCAGGCATCTGGCCCTCCTTTACCTTCCCATGGATACACCAGTGGGTCACAGCACTGATCATGGAAGTGCTGTCACAATTTATTTCACAGGGGCACCATCACCTGAACCACACAACCAAACTCTGTCCCAGTAAACTCCTCTGGATGGCACAGAGTACTGGAACAAATGCTGGGACAGCTCCTCCACCATGGCATTATTGGTCCCCTGTTACTGTTTGCAAAAGCACACTGAAGAAAAGTAAACTCTGCAATGGGGGAGTGCACCAGATCCAGAAGGATTCAGCAGCAGGTTGGTTCCCTCAAATTCCCTTCATGGATATCTGACCTTGAAAACAACAAAGATACTCCAGACTATCTCTGCTGTGCATGAGCACCTCACAAAGAGGAGTCTGGGGTAATCCAGCCCTGGGTTGTGTTTCAGAAGATCCAGATTTCACATATTTCTGCTGCACCCCCACTGTTTCTGTACCCAACACCTTCTTTTCCTTTTGGAACTGAAGTCCCTCCATTCCCACTCCCCCTTTTCCTTAATTTGACCCTACAGTGATTCCATGTGCCAAGCAGGTCACCATTAAGCTCAGATCACTTCAGGGGCCCATGGTGTTCCTCCACTTTGCACAGTCAGCACCAGAGCCCTGCCAGAACAGATATTAGCAGTTTGCTTAAGGGAAGCTCTGAATTGCCCCAAGATCCTTTCAGTCACATTTTCAGAGTGCTCCATGTGTCTCTGCTGCACTGCAGGAAAAGCAGAGCTCTTTCACAGGTCAGTGCCATGGCTGTATTCTTAAACTAAGAGACAGATGGGGATGGTATACAGTAAACACCAGCAAATCTTGGATGGAAACAGTATAAAAAGCAAATGTTTCAGCTGTAGTCCTTGCCAAAATGTGCATCATTTCAAAAAGCACACAAGCATTACATTTTGCAGTTGCTAATTCTTTTTTTTTGGTTAATAATATTTCTACCTTTGCTTTTGATTTTGCCAATCAAGAAATGCTGTGAGCACAGCAGTCTCTATCAATGACAGACAAGAGGGAATCTCAGCACGGCCAAATGCTGAAGCTCTTGCAAACAATGAGGAAACAGTTTGCTTTTATGTGCATGCATTGTGGTTTAGCTCCAGCCAGCAACTCAGCACTACACAGCCACCCACTCCCTGCCTCCCACCCCTGGGATAGGGAGGAGCACCAGAAAAAAAAGTGAAATTCGTGAGAGGAGAACAGTTTAATCACTGAAATAAAGTAAAAGATAATGATAATAATAACGATAATGATGATAATAACAAAGAAACAGGAGGAAACAAAAAGAGAGAGGAATAAAACCCAGGAAAGACAAGTGATGCACAGTACAATTGAACAGCCATACCCAGCCCTTCCTTGAGCAGCATTCAGCCCCTCCTAGCCAGCTCCCCCAGCTCTGTGGTGTGGAATATCCTTTTGGACAGTCCTGGCCTTGCTCCCTCCTGACTCCTTCTGGCACAGGACACTGAGCCCTCCATTTAGGGTTGAGCACCAACTAAAACATCAGGGCGTTATCAACGTTGTTCTCACACTGAATCCAAACTCAGCACTGTGCCAGCTGCTGGGAAGAAAACTAACTGTACCTCAGCTGAAACCAGGACAGCATGGAGTATGTGTGGATCTCTTCCCTTTGTTTGAGACAGGAATGTGACTCAGCTCACTGTCAGGCAGGACTCATCCCCCCACGGAGGCTGCAGAGGAAAATCCACTCAATGCTGGGACCACTCCTGTGTTAGAGCCCCTAAATGGTCCCAGTGCAATCCCCTCCCAACAACACTTGGACTCCAACTCCTACAGCAGCTTTAAAGGGAAAGAGGAACTGAAAATGCCATAGGGGAGGAACAGAAGAAGAAACAAAACGTGACTTCATACAGGTTTCCTCACAGAATCACAGAATCACAGAATCACAGAATCACCAACTGGTTTGGACTGGAAGGGACCTTAAAGATGATCTCATTCATCCCCCCTGCCATGGGCAGGGACACCTTCTACTATCCCAAGCTCCAGCCTGGTCTGGGACACTTCCAGGGATCCAGGGGCAGCCACAACTTCTCTGGGCAGCCTGAGCCAGGGCCTCAGCACCCCCACAGTAAAGAGTCTCTTCTTAATGTCTTAATCTGCACCTACCCTCTCTCAGTTTGAAGCCATTCCCCCTGGCCATATCACTACAAGCCCTATCATCCTCAGGCAGGAGCCCAGGATGCTCTGGCACAGATAGAGTGGGATGATGAGATCTGGGATAGATGCACATGGCCCTGGGTATTATAATTACAATGCATTAGTACATAATTTAGGCACACTCAGCAAGCCATCCTTTCAGCAATGAGAGTGCCACAGAGGCCATCGTGGGTAGCACGATGTCCCTTTTCTGCCAAAACAGGAGATATGAGGAAAAGGAGAGATTTTCTTGCTCTGTTTTTCTCAGCAGACACAGCCCTGCTCCAGCCAGGCCATCTGCAGCCCCTTCTTTCACCAGCACAGCTAAACCAGGACCCTGTTTGCACACCTCTGTGGGAGAAGCTTTGGTTAGTGTGGCATGGGACACAGCAAGGACAGGGCCATGGGACTGCACAGGTGACTGGCAGGCAGTGTTCCAAGAGGCCAGCTCCACATCTGGCACAGCTCCACATCTGGCACAGCAGCCACAGACAGGCTCCAGAGCTCTCCAAACCCAGCTCCCAGCAGGGCACCCCTGCTCCCAGCCACATGGGCCAAGGAAAGTGCTTAGAGGTACCCATGTGCAGATGCACCTCTTCCTTAGATCAGCAACACTGGGCTGTTACTTTGATTTCTTGTTCCTGTTTTAGGGGAATTATTGCCAGGATAATTTCTGAGAACAGTAAATCACAACAGAGGATGTCTGCATGGAGAGGAGAGGTGTCAGCAGAGAGCATTGCAAACCAGCAAAGAGAGAGCAGCAGGCAGGGACTGGAAAATGAAGAAAAACTCAGCTTGAAAAGAATCTGCCAATCATGAGGATAAGTATCAGGGCTTACCACGGAGCTGTACACTTCTTGTGGTTCCTCCATCAAGATTAAGTGCCTCTTTCTAGAAGTTCTGCTGTATTCCAATAAAGAGAAAAAGGCAGGAGCCTGACACCCCTGCCCCAGCTCAGGCTGGGTGGGCTTGCAGTCCCTTCTGCTTTCTAAACCTTCCAACTCCCACAGAGCCTTTGAGCTCAGAAACGTTCAGGCCACTCCCCTCACTGTCACTGCTGGAAGTGTCACCAGCTGGTGTCACCATGGTGGTGGACAGGCAGATCTGGACCCAGAAAGGATGTCTGCAACACAGCTCGAGGAAACAGGAAACCTGAACAATGTGAGCAGCAAACGTGTGACCCCAGTGAAATCCTCCTCCATCTGTGCTGGGGGGCTGGAAAAGGGATCAAAGTGTCTCACAGAACATCAAAATCCAACAGCACAAGCACTTCTCTCCCACGAGATTTCCTAGGATGAGAATTGTGTGTAGCAGGGGAATATACAAGAGCCAGCCACCCAACAGGTCTGTTCTGTGGGACAAGGGATGGTTTTTGTCTGCTGCCTGCAGAAACACAGGGATGGAATTCTCCTGATAAATGCACAGCAGAGAGCAAACAGAAATGAGCAACAAATGGGCACTGGTGCTATTCAGCACCAAAGAGAGATGAGAGAGAGAGTTAGCAGAGGCAAGCACATGGAATAACAACAGATCTGTGGGTTTAACTCCCCTAATCCAGCACAGCAGCACTGACAAGAGACAGAAGGATTTGCTGTTTAGCTCAGAGCACACAAACCTGACCATTCCCTCTGCTTCTTTCCCTGCATCCATGCGCACTGGGCCAGGGATGGCAATGAGAGAACAACCTGTGTGGGCAGAGAGACACCCCAGAGGGCCACAACCCTGACCAGGAAATAAATAGTGTTCCATCTGTGTGCTGCTGTACACTGATAGTCTAGAAGCATGTCTGAAGAGAAGGACAGAAGGACAACTCAGTCAGACATCCTTGATGCTTCACATGGAGAAGAGCAGCAGCCAGGGGCTGCCTGGCAGAGCTCTGACATTTTTGTCTGGCTGGGCCAGCTCTGAACAAGGCAGCAGGGAGGTGCTGAGTGCCTATCCCACTCCATCTCTTCTGACTTTCTGACTGTTCTCCTTTTCTTTCCTGGAGTTCTTGATCAAGTTAGCAGCAGCACAACTCATTCTGTTCCTTTGGAAAAGCCCTTGGCATTGAGATTCTGTTCCAGGGGTGGAAAAAAGCCAAAGAGAGTTTTATGCAGCAAAGTGGGGTAACAGGGAGTTACACACATCAGTTCAATCCATGATGACTTGACCCTGAGGCAAGTTCTGCCTTGCTCAATAGAGGAAAATGACTTCCCATTTTCAAACTGCAGGAAATCCCCATTCTCCTTCAAAGAGGGATCCTAGGGAGGAAACATCTGTGTGTTGACAAGGCTGAGCTCCCTGAAGATGTATGGGCTTGCACAGTGCTCACACCAGGAGCAATTCCCAACACACAGCCCCAGGGAAAGGAAAGCAAAACAATCCCAAAACCACAAATTCAGGCCTAGAGCAACCTGATCTAACTCTGAACAAGGGGCTGGACTAGAGGCCTCCAAGAGCCCCTTCCAATTTAAATTTTGTGATTTTGTGATCCTATTCCAGCAGAGCATGCAAATGAAGAGGAGCCTCTGGCTGTGGGACAGGACTGGAGGGCAGCATCAGCACAGCCACCTGCTGCTGCCACCTGTGCAGTCACACTTGCAGGCCCAGCAGCACAAGGAAAGGCCACAGTGCCCAAACAAGCAGTGCTGGAGGATCACTGGTGACAGAAAAATGGGCAAACCATGGAGGGGAAACTCCCTGCAAGGAGCAATGCAAGGATACAGCATGAATGGATGAATCTGCCCCAGAGCAGCCTCTGTGCTGTGGGGAACAGCTTGTTCTGCACTGATAACACTGAGCTTATCTTTCTGTCTAACTGCAGTTTGCGTGATCACTGAGCTTTGAAAAGGTGTCTGTCAGTCCTGGTGCGGAAAAGGCAGAATCACAGAATGGTTTGGGCTGGAAAGGACCTCAAAGCTCCTCTCATTCCACCCCTATGCCATGGGCAGGGACAGCTTCCACTATCCCAGGCTGCTCCAATCCCTGTCCAACCCAGCCTTGGACACTGCCAGGGATGGGGCAGCCACAGCTCCTCTGGGCAACCTGTGCCAGGGTTTGCCCACCCTCAGAGCGAAGAATTTCTCCTTAAAAGCTCATCAAAACCTGCTCTCTGTCACTCCAAAGTCCCTCTCCACCTGTCCTGGAGCCCCTTCAGGTACAGAAGGGCGCTGTATGGTGCAGTTAAAGAAGAGGGGTCTGTGTTTGGCTCCAGCTGATGCCTGTCCCAGCCTGAGCCCTGGCTCAGGACAAGGCCTGAGGCACCCCCAAACCCCTCCGCCCTACCCACAGCCTCTCTGTGCCTCGTACTTTGAGTCATTCTGTATTTTGTTCATTTTTATGCAATCTTTCTTGCTCAACATTTGGTTTCCATGGAGTCACATACACTGTGTGAAACAGACTTATATATAGAAAGTGGAACGGGTCATATGATCGGTCCTGGTTGCCATGGCAACCAGCACAGCTCCCCTCGGGCTGAATAGGATGGCACATTCTGCTGGGGACAAGTCACCCTCCATGGGTGGCCCTGCCCTGCAGTGCCATCCCTCTGCTCTGGGCACCATCCTCCCATGCCACCAGAGGCCAGTCCCCCTCCTGGGCTGAGCTGGAGCATCTCAGAGTGCTGAGGTTGAAGCTGTGTGGTGAACCATGCCCAGCACATCCCCACATTCCACTTTAGCTGGGCAGCTCTCACTTCTTCCAGTTTTAAAAACCTCCTTGTGCTAATAAGCTTCCTCTGTGCTATGGCACTCTGCTTCACTCCTTCTTCTTCGTAAATAACTCCTGCATCTCCCTGCAGCTGCTGTCTGTGACCTTGTTCACAGAGGTTCTTGGATGAGGGAAGAGAATGTTGACTCTATGTTTCAGAAGGCTTGATTTATTATTTTACTATATATATATTACATTATAACTATATATATATATATATATATATATATATATATATAACATTATACTACAAAGAAATAGAAGGAAAGGTTTTCTCAGAAGGCTAGCTAGGAATAGACTAGAAAAGAATGATAACAAAAGGCAGCTCTCTCGGACTCTATCTGAGATAGCTCGGCCTTGATTGGCCATTAATTATAAACAACTAAGATGGGCCAATCAAAAATCTACCTGCTGCATTCCACAGCAGCAGATAACCATTGTTTACATTTTGTTCCTGAGGCTTCAGCTTCTCAGAAGGGGAAAAAAAATATTAAGAAAGGATTTTCACAAAGAGATGTCTATGACAGCTGTCTCCTTGGATGCCATCTCTGTCTCCTTGGATGCCATCTCTGCCACCTTCCCAGCAGCTGCAGGTGGCTGTGACAGGAGGGAAGGGTGGCCAGCTCTCCCATATCTCTGCACTCCTCTGTCTGGTTTGGCTCTGGAACACAGTGTGCATGCTTCCCAGCCAGCTCTGCCTGGTCCCCAGCCAGACCCACAGCTGCCAAAAGCCTCCCTTGTCACCTACCCAGGTCCCTGGCTGTGGCACAGGCATGTGCCCAGCACTTTGCTGCAATGTAAGGCACATGAAAAGCACTGTGTTAGCAGAGAAGGAGCCTTCTGGGAGTAGGATATTTTTCTCCATCAGTACCATAAATGAGGGAGAAACAAGCTGCTTCTGAAGGTACATGACCCAAGGAGATGGAGTGGGTGATGTTTTCTGCCTCAGCGCTGTGTGAGAGACCAAAATGCGTGGGAAGAGAAATCCTCTGACCTGTGAATCCCATCCTGACCCCTTCAAAATAGGTGCTGTCAAACCAGAAGGGAAAAAATCTGAGTAACTGCAGTGCAGCTCAGCCCTCTCCCTCCCTTCCCAACATGTGCCTGGTGCACAGAGCCATGTGCCAGACTGGGAAGGTCCCAGAGCAGGGAGCTGCAGCTGAGCCTGGCCCTGGTGGGTGACGTGGGGCTCCTGGCACAGGTCTGCTCCGGATCCTGCCACAGACGATGCTCACTCCCTGGCACAGCAGCACTCAGGGAGTGCCTGGCTACAGCAATCACTGGGGTTTGGCTGAGGAGGCACGCTAGGCAGGTGTAAGGAGTAGGAAGCATAAAAATAATGGCAGGATTGAGATTCAGTGTGGAGAAAGAGCAGTGGGAGTGGGGCCCTGATTTGAAGAGGGTGGTTAGCAAAGAGACAATAAAAAGCTTTTGATAGCAGGGATTTGGGGAGTGGTAAGGGAGCAGGAGGGTGAGAGGAGCCTGCAAAGGACAGCCTGGCTGTCAGCCTCCTCTGCCTCTTGCTCTGCCTGAGCACTGCTCCCTCTCCTGCGCTCCTTTCTCTGGTTGCTCTCAGGGGGTGACAGCATTCAACACTTTGTGACAAGGGTGCAGAGATCTGGCACTGAAAGAGCAACCAAGAAGGGGGAGATGAAGCACCACGCTCTCACCAGGTGCCAAAGATGATGGACAGCCACATGGGAACAGTGTCTGCTCTGAGAAAGCTCATCTAGAACACAGTGACCATAGGGAGCTCAGGAATCACCCCCAGGAAAACACACAGTTGTTTTTCCCTTCTATGCTAACAGACAAATCATTAATGAACAAATCTGTCCAATCCCCTTTGAGCAGCCCCTCTCCTGTATCCAGCTGAGCCATGCACAGCCAGGTGATGGCCAGACTGACACTGGACAGGAAAAAAGCTGTGGGTGGTCACATCAGGCAACCATGAGGATGCAGCTTCTACAGCACAGCCCTGGAAAGCCAGTGAGGGGTCCTGTAGACAGACTGCTGCAATATCAGGAAAAATTTCTTCACCAGAAGGGTTGTGAGGCATTAGGAGAGGCTGCCAAGGCAAGTTGTAGAATCACTGTCCCTGGAAGTGCCCAGACAGTGAGCAGGTGTGGGGTTTAGGGACATGGTTCAGTGCTGGGTTAATGGGGGACTTGATGATCTCAGAGGACTTTTCCATCCTTAG